ATTTGAATTTTTGACGCCTTATATTTCCGAAACCGGAAGCTTTTTCAAATTTCTATAAATGAAGAAAGGTAACGGTATGACATTAAAAAATATAATTATTTTCCTTAACTCACGCAATTAACCCTTAAAATCGAGCATTATGTTAACCCCTCTTTATATTAATTTCTGCTTTATTTCAAAGACTGCATAAACCGTTCATCCTAAATATATGCAATCCCAGAAATAGTTTCGTTTATGAATGAAAATAATTTTAATAGTGTGGTGGATATACATGGACTGTTTTTAACACTAAACATACCATAACGGTATAATTTTATTGCGTTTGCACATTTGACTTCATGACTTTTTCTAAGTAATTAATGTACAGTTATAACATTTTTTTTTTGTTTGTTTTGTTTATTCTGAGTAATTCTTGTTGTATACCGATATCTACCACAACGGGTCATTTGACCCGCTATGTTAGGGAAAAGTGCTACAATACAAACCATTGGTTTGGCCCAACTTTATTTTAAATAGTATGGTATCCAGAATTTAATTAAAACTTTTTAAAATTTTATGTGATTTAATTACCTTTTTATACCCGTACGAACGTATGTTCGAAGGGTATACTAAATTTGCCTTACCGTTTGTAACGCTAAGAAATAACGGTGTTAGATATAGACTCAAGTGTATGTTTTTGATCAGCGTTAAATTCTGAGTTGATTTAGCTTTGTCTGTCCGTCCGTCCGTCCGTCCGTCCGTCCGTCCGTCCGTCCGTCCGTCCGTCCGTCCGTCCGTCCGTCCGTCCGTCCCAACGATAACTCAAAAACTAATTGAGCTAAGTTTACCAAATTTTCACAAATGATTTATTGTAGTAAGTGCCAGAACCCTATTTAAATTGGACATGATCGGGGTACCGGTTCGGGTAGCTGCCATACAACTTCAAAATTTATTTGGCTATATCTCAGAAACTATAAAAGTTATGGTATTGAAATTTCACACAAACGAATATATTAGTAGGGCCAATATGCCACATAAAACTCGTTGAAATTACTTGGCTCCTTCTGGTACCTGCCATACAACTTCAAAAATTATTTGGCTATATTTCAGAAACTATTAAAGTTATGGTATTGAAATTTCACACAAACAAATATATTAGTAGGGCCAATATGCCACATAAAACTCGTTGAAATTACTTGGCTACTTCTGGTACCTGCCATACAACTTCAAAAATTATTTGGCTATATTTCAGAAACTATTAAAGCTATGGTATTGAAATTTCACACAAACGAATATATTAGTAGGGCCGATGTTCTGGTAGCTGCCATACAACATCAATAGTAGTTTGGCACAACCAGTATTTTGAACAACACATAGTACTGAAATTTTGCATAAATTAATATGTTAATACGGCAACTTAAAGACATAGTCTGCCCCATAGTTAGTTATGGCACATTAGTTATTCGCACATAGGATAACAAATTCGTACGGGTATCACAGAGTTGACATGGTGAACTCTATTTTTTTTCTCGTTTTTCAATATTTTATTCAATTGTTTAGTTATTTTTTGATAGGTGTAGTCATAAGATTGAGTTAATATTAAAAAAAAATTGTTTCTTATAAATTTCAAAGCTTAAAATTCATACATTAAGGTAAATTTAAATAACTTTTGTAATTCAATTGTTAGTATAAGAGTTCTGAAGAAGTAGATTTTATACGTACATGTAGAGCATTTTTAATTATGTGGGAAAAGTATAATTTGATTACATATATCTTGTTATACCCTTAACTTAAGTTTTTATTAAATATTTTCCATACCAAAAAGTTTAATTTGTGTATTAAAATAAAAGAAAATATTATTTGGGTAAAAATATGAACATTTATACGAAAACATTTATTTTCCGGTTTTTATGACTTTTTTGATATTACTTTTTGGCTACTAAAGATAATTAAGGTAATAAAGCTCATGGGCATGGTTCATATTTTGAACTAAAGGAATTACGAGGTTTTATATTAAGAACAATGAAATTTTGACAATGCGCTTGTTGTGTTCATATCGGGTGTTTCAGATAGTTCAACGTATTATGGGCTTTGCACTTCATTTCTCAAGTCTTTTATAAGACCTTGAGTGCCACTCTCTATCTTTGAATTCAGAGAAATCATCCAATTAATTACGTTTTTATTTTTAATTCCCACTTTCAATTGCACAATCAAAACATAATATGTATCCGAATTATTTATCTAGCAGTAGCAGATTAGTATCATAACTCGAGATGTATATTTAATTTCAGACTTAACTTCTAGAAATGAAAAAACAAAAAATATGTTATATCAAGGTTTAACTCTGTACTGTATTCTGAATGACTTAAAAAACGAAAACAAAGTTCCTATTTATAAGTTGAGAATTAAACTTAGTAATAAAAATATTTGAATTATTTACAAAATAAAGTAAGTTTCAGTTTTTTTTTTAAATTTAAATTCTTAATAGTAGAACTTTTGAAAAAAAATTAATAAAATAAAGTAAAATTTTTACTCTACCACAGCTGAATTAATTATTAGAGTAATCCAGTTTTAGATAAGCTCTTCAGCATATTTTCAAAAAAATTGAAAAAATATGTTTATTTATTTTTTTTTATATATCGGACTTATGTCCGCCTGTGTGTTTCGTTTCGAATTTTTATTCAGGAGAAGAATCTTAATTTTCATACAAACACGAATTTTTTTTAGAATCCTATTGCTTTATTATTCTCATTCATATACAATTAAAATTTTATAGGTTCAATTATTTTGGATTTTAAAGTGCCTACTGTGAACTTGGTTTTATTTAGATAATTAATTGTATCATATCAATTATATTGCGTTTAAATATAATTTAGCCAAATTGTAACATTGATGGAACTGAAACCTGAAAAAGTGTATTTTTAATTTTTATTTATAATCATTGATCAATGATGAATTTTAATAATTAACCCGTAAAATGTCTTAATTTTTTTGATAAAGTTCAATATTCAGGTTTTATAATTTAATAATGTCTGTATAAAATTAAAATTATCATAAACAAAATACTAAAATTTGAATAAAATATAAGATGTAAATTAAAAAAAAAATTAAGAGAATACTTTAAAATTGAATTCTAACTGCTTAATCATACCAATTGTGCTTTTACTATATTAAAACTTGTTTAGTATTTATCTGTAGAACTTTGTATACTCTTATTGACACTTCGTTATTATTCTATAAATGTTTTATTTATAATATACAGGTTAAACTATATTGTTTATGTACAAATTGTTATAATTTTTGTTAAATTTATTGAACTAACTCGAAATAATAAAAATATAACGTATATATGTGTAGTGTTTCCAAAATATACGAAAAATGGAACAAAATTTTAAAATTTTGTAAGAAATATGCGATTAGGATGTTATTGCTTGTTTTTATGCAAAGTTCCAATTATTAGTTATTAGATTATTTTAAATTTAAATAAATTCTGGCACAAAGAGTGTATGCTTCAAAATAGAATTAAAGCACTTCAGCTGAAAGAAATTTATCAAAAATTGATTGCCCGCATATTTTAGCAACTATAAACTAGCTTGTCAATTTAAGTCGATTTGGTTAATTAAAAATTGCAATAATTTTGTAAAAAAACTACAAACTGTTTGATTACTTTATTGCATGCTTTCATACAGTTGCAAATGTGCGCGCTTGAATATGAACCTACATATATGAAATAAATCCAAGTAAGAAGTAATTTTGATAGAAAACATAGGTTTATAATTAAAAATTGAAAATTTTTAATGGTTTATACAGTAAATTTTTAATGGTTTATACAGATGGCTATGTATGAAATAGCATATAGAGTAAATGGCCTCCAACACTTTGCTGCCACATACGCGTTCTTTTGTTGAAATTTTCCATGATTGTTTTGCATAAATGTGGCTAAATTTCGTTGGTACCGCGCACAATTTTCTCCTTCAAGACGTGGGTGGCCGCGGGCTTGTTGACTTAGACTTCAAAAAACTTTAAAGAAAAATATGCAACCACGGTAAATCGCATAATCTGGGATGCCAATTCTGATCACCAGAACGGGAAATTACACGTCCAGAAAATAACTGATGCAGTAATTGAATTGTTTCTCGGGCTGTATGGCATGTGTCACCGTTTTTTGAAACTACATGTCGTTTACATCCATAACTTGTAATTTTGGGCACAATTCTGGGACACCTATAAATTTTAAAAATTTGTAGGTGTCCCGAATTATTTAGAATTTTATTTTGCTATTTTATATTATTTAGTATTTTATTATTTTATAATGTAGTAAAATTACTAGAATTTTTATAAATTTCCAACTCTTTAAAATTAAAAAAAAATAAATTGTTCTCACCTTTACTCATCATCTATCTCAAAGCTTTGTTCTGATCTTTATTTTTTTACGATTTTCAAATACAATTTACAAAATATATAACACTCTCACAAAACTGTACCATACACTGATGGTTTCTCTCCTTAAAATATTTTAACTTAAAATTCTATAAAAAGGATGTGTAAGTATAAAAAAGTTTATAGTCTCATTTTAAATTTTGTATGGTAAATTTTAAAATATTTATAAGAAAAAAGAAAAAAAAAAACAAAGTTCTTAATTACAAAATGATTAAAAGGATTGCTATTATACCTTTGGGATTTATTATAATTATTAATTTTGTTACAGTTTTGGTGAAAGGACAATTACGTGAGTAAAATTTCCATTGTAGTTTTTTGAAATGAATATTAAATTTTGTGGAGATTGTTTTTTGCTAATATAAAAATTAAAAGAATAAATATTATTTGTTTGTATATATTGAACTTGGACAAATTGGAATATTGTCAGAAGAATTGTTAATTCAAATATTTATTTAAAATTCTATAGTGAAATAATTAAGAGTTCATGAGAATAATTTGTGAAATTAGTGAATTGAAATGATTTTGGAATTTTTGTATAACATAAAGTCAATGATTAACATATGATAATAGAAATAAGTACAATGTCAAAATCAAATACTGTAAATGAGTTTAAAAGTGATTCAATTCATTACAATGAAAGTATAGATTGTTAAAAAATAATTGAATTAGTGTTGAATTTGAAAAAAAGAAGTTTCAAGTTTGAAACAATTATGAAATGTCAATGTATTATGACAAATATTTATTTCGAAATTTTAGAAGCGATTTCTAATATTTAAGATAAGGACATGTTCCGCATTTAGCGGCGGATTGGAGGGAGTGCGATAAATTTTTGTGTGCGGTCAGGCTTTTATCCTGGTTATAGAAATCTTTAAATATGCAAAGTTGTAAAAGATGAATTGAGGTAAACCATAAAAAGAAATCGATTATAGTATTCCAATTGTTATAAAAATTAAGGCCATAGCATCGTTATTAGTGTAATGGTTATTGGCCTGCTTACTAAGAAAAGTTGTTTTTTAGAATTTCTAAAACTAATTTTATAAATGTAGTATAGTGTTTGCGAATTCAGTTAATCATTCAGGCGTATATGTGCGATGTGAGTTTAATGGTAAGAATATTTTCGAAATCTACCTAAAATCGCCTATGAAAGCGAAGAAATTAAATAAGATTTACATCTGGAATTAAATATTAGTTTATTTTATGTTGCTAGTATGTCCTTGGAACACAAATATTAATCAGAATTTGAAAATTTTAATTTCATTTTTTATTAAGGTAATTAAAAAAAAATTTAAAATTTTAAAATAAATTTTCTTTGAAGTCAATTATTTGTAATTAAAATCAGTTTATGATCCAAATTTATTATTTAATTTTGAATATTTATTTTATTTATATTTCGAACTTTTCAACTATTCAAAATGTTTATTTTATAGCAATAATTACTGAAAAACAAATAATAAACTGTGAAAATATTGTAAAAGTGAAAAATTAAAAGCGAACTCAATAAATTAATTATAACAGAGTAAATAAATTTACAATACTTTTGCTATATTAAATAAAATTAAGTCGAATAGTTTTTGTAGTAACTGCGATATAAGACCTCATGTAATCTCAGCTATATGCATAATATGTTTTATTTAAGTATACTATGATCTTAATAGTTCTTAAGAAATATTAGAATAATTTTTGAGATTATTGTTCATTTCTAGACTAAGAAACGAACAGATTGATTGACAATAGCAACATATGAGATAAAAAGACAAATGTACTGAAAAAAATCACAATAAAATCAAAATGACTTCGTTTGTGAGGGATTATACATTTAATTATAATTATAATAATAAATTTATACAAATATCAACTTTTATTTGAATTTAAAAAAATATTTTAATATTCTAATTACAGCTTCAGATATTAAAAAATGTAAGTTTGCTGATGAAAGTTGTTTTATTGAGCGGTTCAATTATGTATTTAGAACTAGGAAAAATGGTAAAAAATAAATATAAAGTAAAATTTTACTAAAATCTTTTTTAAATTTTTCTATATATAATATAGGTGACCCAGAATTAAATTTAGTTAAATTGGAACCATTGGATATATCTAAAATTTCAATTAAACAACCAGGTGCAGTTGTAAATATTGATTTAGAATTTATTAACAGTAAATTACATGGATTAAGTGAAGCCGTATTAATACAAGCAAAGTAAAACAAAAAATTAAATATTTTACTAAATTATTTGTGAAAAAAACTAATTCAAATATAATTAAATTTATAGAGGGCCTTATTTGGATCCAACGAAACCAGTAGAATTTCGTGCTAAAGGAGATCTTGTAGCTTTAATTGGTGATTATAAAATTGAAGGTCGTGTTCTATTTCTACCAATTGTTGGCGGTGGATCTTCTAATATGACAATAAGTAATTTGAATTATTAATTTCAAATTGAATTTCTAATTAAAATTATGTTTCTTATAATTTTTTAGGAGATTTTGAAATAAAAATAAAATTTGATGGTTTACCATTTGAGAAAAAAGGTAGGGAACATGTTAAAATAAGAAAATTGGCTGCTGACATAAAAATTGGACAATTATATATTAAATTTGAAAATTTATTCAATGGAAACAAGGAATTAAGTGATAATATGAATTTATTTTTGAATGAAAATTGGCGTGAAATTTGGTCCGAAGTGAAAAGGCCAACACTTGCCGCATATGAAATTATTTTTCAAACATTAATACAGAACACATTAGATAAAATTCCTTACAATGAGCTATTCGATGAATGATAAATTATTTAAAGATTTTTAAATTTAATTTTCTAAAATGTATTTGTATATATGTATGTATATATTGTTTAGTAAATTTTTGATATTTTTTATTAATAACATATTACAAGAATTTTTATATTTAATATATTTTTTAATTTTAATATTTTTAGATCAATCAATACACTGAAGTTGAACGATATGTTTGAACAACGCGTTCTTTATAATTACTGCGTCAACATGAATGAAGGCGTCAACTACATTTTTTTTAAGAATATAAGGTCTTTTTGTATAATAGATTCTATGTTTTTATTTTTTAAATCAAAAACTCCGTTTTCCAAAAAAAAAACCATTCCATTTAAAGATGGTTTGTTATAAGAATTATAAAGAAACATTTTATAACCTAAAAAGGTCGAATATACTCGAAACTTCAAAAGGTGAAAGTGACATCTTCATTCACTCGTGTTTCTCAAATTTTTTTCTATCGGATTGAATTCTAAACAAATAATTTTATTAAAACAAAGTAGCGGTTCGCAATTATGTTTTATGAGATTTCCCATACCTATTAGTATGCATAATAAGGGAAAGTATGAACTATGAATTTTTCGCCGATCTTATTGTTTGTCGTTTTAGCGGGCCTGTTTTATATTTTTGATCATTTTGAAGAAAATATTCAATCGATTCACTTGAAATATCATGTCAGCAACCGGACGTTTACTACGTGCCAAATATACATTTTTGCGTATATAAAAGAAAAAATCAACTGATTTCATTGAAATATAATATTTCAATTTTTCGTAGTAAAACAATGAACATATAAATTTTTTGGAAAGTTCAGGGCTCGGAAATTGAACTAAGGGCCCATTATACATTTTTTACGATATTTGCATAACGAATTGATGTAATTTCTTGAAATTTGATAATTGAATCTGGTATCTTTTTAATTTGTTAATTGAATCTGGTATATATTGCATAATATAACACGTGAATGCATTTCAAATCAATAATAAATTACAATACAAATTGTGGTCTTTCTCTCTTTTAAAATAAATCAAAAACTCTTTATACTATAGCAGTTTTAAACCGGAAGCCATTCATCTTATTTATTATGTATAAAAATTCACTAAATTGAAATTTTATGAAATGTGTAAGTATAAACATTTAAATTAATAAATTCTTTATAATAATAAACTGTTATCGTAAAATTAATAAAAATTCACTTATCAACAATCAATTTTCGGTAGAATTTACGATCTTTGGATATTATTATTGTGACCTTCTTAATTTTTTTTTGTCACTTGATTCAATTATGTAATTTTCTTCCTTATTTCAAGAAATTCCGCGGAAATGTTTATGGTAAAATGTGCATGTACCAGAATGAAAACTTGTTTATCAACAATTATTATCTTTTCATATATTGACAAATAAACCATTGTATATACTGATTCTGTTAATAATGTGTGTTAATAAATGTGTATATGAAATTTAATATTGGTATAAATACCTACCTACCTATATATATTATCAAGTAATACTACATTACCATTATCTACCGTCATAACAGTAAACTGTTTTTAATTCTTCTTTGTCTTCCTCTTACATCGAATAAAACTTTCAATTATTGAGTGTTATGAGTGTAGTTATCATTTTCATTCTTAAATTTAAAACTATGCTTAAATTCTCATTTTAGTTTTGTTTATTTACAATTTATATGTTGATTTTTTTGAATTTTATTTGTGTTTTGAGTTACATTAAAAGCGTTCTAAGCAAAAACCAAAAAAAAATTATTCTTTCTCTGTTTTTTTCTCTCTTCTTGTTTCTTGTTTTGTTCCCTCTTATTTTTGTATAGCTAAAAATTCAGATCCTCTATAAAAAGGACGCTTGAATTTGAGAAGCACTACAGTGTTATTTTGAATTTTGAATTGTAAATTAAAATATTTACAAGAAAAGAAAAATAAAAACCGTTATAAAATGATTAAATTTATTGCAATTGCTCCTTTGGGATTAATAATAATTGTTAATTTCGCCACAATTTTGGTGAAAGGACAATTACGTGAGTAAAAATAAAAAGAAAAACAAAAAAATTTGTAGAATAATAAAGTTAATTTTTTTTTTACATTATATTCTTTTAAAAGAAAATATTAAAATGAAAAAAAAATATAAAATATAAGAAAAAATTATAATGGAAATTTTTTTATTAAGTGATAAAAATAAAATGATGAAATTTTGCACTCGAAATGAATTATAAAGTGTGTGTATAGAATGGGAAGCTTTTTATTAATTTTAGTAAAGATTTTAAGATATAAGGAACAGATTTTAAGTGAAACATAAAATGTTTTATAATAAATATGGGAATAATAAGAGTGATAAGGAAATAAAATGAAATTATCGTAAATTTTCTAATTAATTATAATAATTAATTTAAGGAATTATGATTATTAACTTTTGACTTACGAGTAGAACTTACGAAAGTAAAAATTATTCACTAAGTGAGAATTATTGTTTTGTTCAGAAGGTGTACATACATTTATGATGTTATATGTAAGCTAATATTGCTCAAGCAAAAGTTTACGCAAGTTAATGTTATTTACAGTGAATCACATTACATACAAGCTTTCTGAAATTTAGTTTTGAAGTGATTGAAGTTCACTTTTTTAAATTAAAAATTTCATTACTATTGATCTAACTAACAAAAGTATAATAATCTCTACACCTACATGGATTTCAAAATTCAACGCGGTTTATTTTGGCGTTTACACTTCTATAAGTTTATAGCTATATGGCAATGCCAAACAAAAATTTCTAATATTTTAAATTTAAAAAGAGTAATAATTGCAACACTTTCATATTGAATTTGTTAAATTAGAGTCTATATTCGAATATATAAATATTCGAACAACAGTAAGAAAATATTCTTGTGAAATATTTTAAAGAGTTTTGAACGGTATAATTAAATAATACTTAAATAATGACATTAATGTTGACATGAATGTAATCATCAGTAATGCGATTCTGATTGCTTTAAATCTGAAAGTTTCATGTTTTTAAAAATGCATTCATATACATTATGTATGTACTTACATAGTTATGTGCATGAGTTCATAAGATTATTTGATTGTAATTAAGTTTTCTAGTTGGAAGTTAATTTGCTGTCTTGTTTCTTTGCAAAACATTTATGGTCTGGTTGCCATCCAGCTGGTTTACATTATTGTTACAATATGTGTGCATATGCATAATTATTTTTCACTTTCTCACAATTTATTTAAATTGATAGTTGAATATATTAAAGAGTTTTTGTACTAAATACTTCAAACTTGTACATCTTATGTATTTTTCATACAAATATCACAATTAAAAATTTGTTCTTATAATATCATATAAGCAAATAGTTTTAAGAATTCGATATATTCGACGTAATTTTTACGTGTGGGTGTCATCATATTATACCAATATATTATTCAGGTATATTTGATACATTTTCTGTAAATTACAGTACCTGAAATTTAAATAACCAGAAAAATCACTGGGCGTTAACATGAAGAAATTCTGTTCCTACGCTCCTATATGGCATGAATTGTCGAATTATTGTAGATTAAGAGAGTAGATTACGTTTTCGAATCACTATTTGTCAATTTACATTCTTCATTAAAGAGAAGTGTCTTGTTCACTAACGTCATCTTTCAATTATGTTAAATTAATTATCAAAAATTATTTGTTTACTTATTTCACATAGCAACAATATACATATGTATGTAAATAAATATGTATACTTCCGATGTATTATAAAATAAAAATTAATTTACAGAAATTTTTAAAAATTCAAAAGAAATGTCATAATTTTTAGCAATATTTCAAAACTTTTTAAATTAATTTATTCGGAAAATTAAGATGATTTAAAACGATTTCTTTACAATTTTATAAATATTCTTCTTCACAATTTTCAAATTTTTTTTGTAAGAATTCTTTTAATTTTTTCTCATTTATATTTACATAAAAAATTTATTTTTCTAATTTTGATTTTAAAATTCTAATGAAGTTTTTGTAATATTGACTTTGTAAACAATAAGAATTTTTTTCTATTTTGTTTTTATTCTAATCTAAGTGGCTTTTGATGTACTTATTCATAATTTACGTATGTAAGTCAAAAAACAAAGTTATTGTAAAATACATACATATATGAGTGTACTATAAGTAAAGGCTAGGGTGTACGTTTTGTAAATTTCATAAATTATTTTATAAAATTTCTTGATTTTCAAACTAATTTCAATATAAAACAGCAAAATCCAATTAAGGTACATAAACTTACTCATATGTCGAAAACGGAATATCTGAATATCGAAAACGCATTAAGCGAGTGAAATTTTACTGTCATTAGATGTAGAGAATTCGAACCCCGGCCACTAGTATCAAAAACTTCGGGTAAAATTTAGAAATAAAATTTTTATTTTTTAATAATTTTATACACATTTTACATATTGCATGTACATAGTTGTATGTATATATGAGATGTTACGGTGTCGCGCATAAATATAAGTGTCAAAATTTAGAACAAATAATTTTAAATTAAATGGTCTATGTTTACTTTTTAAACTTTTTTTTTTGTTCAAATTCTATTTAACTTATTTGATATTTACATACATACATAGACCGGTACATTACAGTGGTTAATATGGTTTGTAAAATGTTTACTTTTTAAGTAAACTGATAGAATACATAGTTAAATAGTATACATAGTTACCTATAGTAAAATTTAATTTTGGCCAGTTTTAATTTGTCAATTCAAATTTTTATACGGAATTACCAATATTTTGCGTCATTTTTATTTTATTTATGTAACTTATTATTTCTTTCTGGAATATAAGTACCTGAATATATACAGGGTAATTCAACAACAAGGTAGGAGACATTCGAGAATCAGTAAAATTTTTATTTACAATTTATTGTCAAATCGGAACGGTTTCGGAGTTACAAGGTATTTAAGAAAATTTGACGAAATTTTAACATACTCAAGCTTGTTTTAGCTAATAAAAGATGTTTTTAAACTGGCTAACAAACTTGATAAAGATTTGGATATTTATGTCTCTACTAAAGTACAACCATCCGAACTTCGCATATTTCTCATTTTTTATTTATTTACTTTAATTTTACTCCGACAATTGCTCATTAAATTTTTTGAAACTTCCAAAATGCTCTTTACAAATCTATTATTGCTCTAATTTTGTGATTAAATAATAAATTTTAAGCTAGTTCTTTTCATACTCTAAATAATGTCGATTCAATTTATGTTCAAAACTATAAGATCATTTACTATTGTCGAATAATTTTTTTTGGGAGTCTGCCTTATATTCCATATATGTACATTAGAACCGTGAAAAAAAAACCAGCAACGGAAGTTTTTTATTTTTCAATGGGCTATATGTCAAAAAGTTTTTTTTAAAATGCATTTTAATTCTACAAACGGGAGAAAATAATGATCAACGTACTGAATAATATGGAGGTGGTGTTTTTGTAAAGAAAAAGTGATGTAGTTCAAAGGCGATAAAAATCTGGTCAGACTAGGGATGTGGTATCGCTATAGAGCTCAGGATACATTAAATTTAGATTTTACTGTAATTGATTTTTGATTATGTCGATTTAATTTTTAAGTTATTTAGTTTCAATTTTCATGTGGTGTTAATTTTGTACTCAATCTTTTTTGGGTATTTATTATTTAATTTTGTAAGTACTCTTAACTGTTAAGAACAATTCTTTCACCAGTATTTCGTTATTTCAATTTCCTTGCATATTTTTTAAAATTAATTATTAAAATTCTTATTTGTATAATTTCAATTTCCTTTAATAAGGAAATTGAAATTAATAATTTTTTCTTCTTAAATTTAATTCAACAAATAATCAGCTTATATAAAAAAATTTTTAATTTGTATAAAGCGTGTATACAAGTTATTATTTACATATGTATGCTTAATCTTCTAATAAAATTAGCAATTCAGTAGCAATTCCGTAGTAGTTCAGTAAAATTGAAAATATTATAAATGCACTTATTGCTTTGATTCTATTATTTTTCAATTAATTATTTTTAATGAAATTCACTGCTAATTCACTACTGCTATTCACTAATTTAATTTTATTTTGAATATTAAAATTTTAGCTCCAGATGTAAAGAAATGTAAATATGAAGATGAACAATGTTTTATTGAACAATTTAATTATGTGTTATCAAATAAAAAAAATGGTAATTATGCATTTAATTATTTTTAATATATTTTTAATTATTTGTTATTAAAATATTGTTATCTATCTGCATTATCAACGCCACCATATTGGTATGAATTATAATTTACTCTAAAATTTAATTGTATATATTAGGTGATAGATCAATGAACTTAGTTAGTTTAGAACCATTGGAGATTACATCGATTTCAATACAACAGCCATCTGGTAGTGTTACAATAGATTTGAGATTTTTTAATAGTAAATTACATGGATTATCAGAAGCAAGATTATTTAGTGCTAAGTATATGCAATTTATAATTAATAAATTTGATAAATATTTATAATGATTATATATTTTGTCTAATATAGGGGACTTCACAAAGACATTACAAAACCATGTGAATTTCGTGCTAAAGGTGATACAATAATGCTTATTGGTGATTATAAAATTGATGGACGTGTTCTATTTTTACCGATATCCGGTGGTGGTGCTGCTAATATGACAATAAGTAATTAAATTTACTAAACATAAAGCGTAAAATTTAATTTTATATAATTTTCTTTTTGATTGTAGGAGATTATGAATTTAAATTGAAATATGATGGTACATTTGTTGAAAAGAAAGGTAAAAAACATGGTAAAGTTCGTAAATTAGTTGCCGATTTAAAAATTGGAGATCTTGATATTGATTTCGAAAATCTTTTTAATGGTAATAAACAATTAAGTGATAATATGAATGTATTTTTAAATGAAAATTGGCGTGAAATATGGAATGAAGTTAAAAAATCAGCAATTGGAGCATTTGAAAGTGTTTTTAGAACATTAATTGATAATACATTTAGTAAATTGCCATATGATGAATTATTTTCTGAGTAAAAGCAATAATAATAAAACACAATATGTAATTTTTAAGTAGATTTTAAAAAAAAACAATTTTTATGTAATGAAAATGTTATTTATTTATAAATTAATTTTTTTTTACTATACGTTTTTAAACTATAATTTTTGATTGTTTTAATTTTAAAGTTTGAGTAATTATTGTATTGAAATGAATTGCGAAGCGCTAAAAATTTTCGCCTTAGTATCGAGTTATGATTCACTTCAGCTATATTTATCTTCGTATAAATGACCTAAAGACAATCTTAAAAACTTACCCAACAAAAATCGTCCGAATCGCACAAATGATTTGTAATATAGTAATCAATGCCATATAATCTGAATCGAGAAGATGATTCAGTTTACTTCCATATTATATCTTCAAAAATAATTTAAACATATTTTGAAAAAATATTCCAACAATATTACCCAAATTCAATAGGATCAATATCAATAAAGAGACCCATATTCTTGGTAATTATTACATGATTAATTAGAAGCATTCATTTGTTTAGGGTACCCAAATTACAGAGTTTATATAGCTAACTCTTTGCCTAACCGTTTGTTAGCTATGTCAAAATTTCGTTTACTTTAACATAATGCTTATCAAAATGTCGCACTTCATTATTCCAATGTTATTTGCTTAAACTAGAATAAAAGATAATAATATAATATTGGATGGAAATCATATAATTTTCAAAAATAATACTGTTTTTGTTATAAATTTGGTATATCGTTAAAAATTATCGTTATACGACTTAATCTTGTGTCTTTAATAACATACTAATGTTGGTAAAACATAACGTATAGATTGTACGTGAAGGAATCCTTCTGTATTAGATCACTTTACATTAAATGTAGAGCTAATAAAATTTATTATAGATAATAAAATAATCTTTTTATCTTTGAAATCATCTGTTTCATTTCTTAAATTATGTTTTAATAGATTTATTATTTAAGATATTTTCTTATAATATTTTCATAAAGTTTTCCTTTAAAAGTAATATGAAACTTTTCCACCATAATAACTCGTTTCCTTCATAAAATAAATAATTTTTGTTAATAATATAGAAAATTATATGAAACTTATTGCTACAATAATAATATTCCTTTTATATAATAAGGCTTTTAATAGCAGCGTTTATATTTAAGTCTTAAATTTGTCTTAAAATAACCACAGACAATATAAGGAATTTATTAATTTTTAACTACACATTAGGCTTATTCCCATACAACAACAGAAAACAAACATTAACTTTATCCATTAATGAAATTTAATTTCATACTCAACAATTTATAAATGTATGAATTCCAAAATTATTTTATATTTTCTGAATCTTCCTCCATTATACAACAGTTTCCTTGTATAATATGTAAAAAGAATGAAAAAAAATTAAAAAACAAAGTAACAATTTTATGCTAGACATGAAAATAGTTCAATTTTTTTTTTCAAGGAATGGAAAAGTTTCATAAAAAATATAGACATAAATTCTTAAACAGCAACAAAAAAAAATGAATGAACCACTAAGAAAAATGTTTTACTTTTTCATCCCTAAGGATAATTCAAGGCTTGAAAATGAGAAAAAAAATATATGTATATAATAAAAGAGTAGAGAAGAAAAACTCAATTACGTTAATGTAGTGGAAAATAAAGAAAAGAAAAAGAATGTACCTAAACTCATAAAAATTATGAAGGAATGAAGGCAAGCAAAAAAGTAACAACTTTAATATTTTCGGCAAAAAGAAAAAAATACGAAACCTCAAATTATTATTCAATTCACAAAAAATTGGTAAGATCAAATAGGGTAGTTGAACTGGCATAATATTTGACTTTTATATAAAAATTTGGAAAAAATAGAAAAAATTTTTTTTAAATGTGGACGGCCGGCTACAAGTATCTATATAAACGGCATCCAGATGGGAAAATAACTATTTTAATAATAATTGAATCTAAAAGGTCTTTTTCATCTGTATATTATTAATATTATATGGGTGTATATCGTATTGTTTTTACGATATTATAGTCTATTGTTTATATTTTAGTTTATATTTGGGCGGCATATTAAAAATAATAAATTCAGGTCTAAATAAAAATGTTATCTTGTATTTTTAGAAATAATAATATAATATATATATATATATATACATAAATATATTTGCAATTCAATAACAATAACTCATAAAGTATATAAAATTAAAATAAAAAAAAAAAAAATAAGAAAAAGCCAATCCCTAAAGGACATAAAAAGTCTTATATATAAACTTTATTCTTATGCATTAAGAATAGATTTTTTTGCTTTATCAAAAACTTACTTGCTATATGAAATTCGAAGATTGTCGATGATTATGTCTTTATTATGTCCTGGCTAGAATTACTATACTAGAATGAAATTTAATGTTGTATATATTGTACAAATATTTATATATGCAGTTATTAAAAGGTGTTTTCGAAGAGATCAGGATAAAAAGCAAAAGGATATTTTCTTTTCATTATTTTTTTTATGAAAAACCTATCGTAAAAAATTATTAAAAAAAAAATTTTTTTTTTTATTTCATTATTCAATAGGTGGTGGGTATTAATAATCTAAAAAGTAAACAGTATAAACGGGATATAAAAGAAGAGGTGGAAAGCAAAAAATTTTGATCAGATCAGTCATGTAACCGAATATGAGAATGAGACTTAGGTTATTTTAAATTTCAGAGAAATTGATAAGATCTCCTGAAGAATTTCTCGGTGAGATATACAATAGTGTACGAATTTTAAACTTTCAGCAATGGCAATAGAAAAGTATAAAGATTGCAAAATAAGAAAAATTTTCTCCACCAGTACAATATAGTAAAGATCTCAAGTTATTACATATGCATATAGTGCGCAACTTACTGCTTTAATTGTAGAAACTTTCACTCAAATTTTGTAGTGTGTGAAGGAAGTTATGTAAGTATACTTTCGTTAAATTTTTTCGAATTATATTATTTCACTTGGTTCAAAAACAATACCTTTCTTATCATTATGGAATATGGTCAGTAAAAATTTTATGAAGAATTTATTAGAGACTTAGATTTTTCTTTTAAGATTTTTTATTAATAATTCTTTCGTTTTTCCTTTTGATATTGTGTTTTTCCATGTTTATTTATAGGCAGTTTTCTTTATTAGAAATTCATATTGATATTTTTTAAAATTTTTATAACTTTATAAGAATGGCATAATAATGGTTTTTGGAATTGATTTTTTTCCTTTCATTGGATTCAAATAAAAATATTAAAACGTCATAATTTTGTTGTACCACAATGCAATACATAACCACATCGAAGTTCAAATTAATTGCTTACTCATTTTCTATATAGAGTAAGGAATAAGGTGAAGTAAATTTCAGATCTAAAGGTGTCATTACGATGATATCGTTGGTTAATGTCAGACTTACCGTTTTCGAGCAATAGTGGCTTAAACACAAAATTTTTTTTTAGAAAACTGAAAATATTTTGAAAAATGTTAATAACCTCAAAAAAGTTCGATATTTTTTTTCATCATGCTCTTTTTCAACTTGACAGTATAGTCATGTCAAACGTACCGTTTGTCTTTAAGCCTTCAAAATTATCCCTAGATGTCCCTAGATCCCGAATTCATTCTCGCTCTCACTCACAATTTTTTTTTCAAAAAAACTCCAAGAAAACATTGATCGAGAACTTTAACACCTGTTCCAAACTATCCTATACATAATACTTGATCTTCAATAATTCAGTTCAAATAGTATCAAAAGTTTTCATTTTCATTTCACTTCGTCTTACCTATAAACTTAAAGGTGGATTGAAATTGTGTGTAGAGTAAAGTATAGTTCAATTGTAATAAAATTTGAAGGTTTTAGTAAACTCTAAGTGCTGTAACATTAGAAACAATATGAGTAACATTAGAAACTTATAAAGTTTAATAAAAAAAAATTACATTAAAATGAGGAATTTTATTAACATTTTTTATGTTTCCGCTCAGAAAATTTAAAAAATCCTTTAAAAAAACCGTAAATGTTAAAAGCTTCTCTGTATTCAAGAGGCTACCCTATTATACCTAATTATCTTGGTTACCCAATAAGAATTGAACTGGAAAAAAGTATAACGATTCAAGGGTTTTTATTTTAAAAATTTAATTATACGTTTTTAGCACTTTTCCAAAAAATTTTTTGAAAAAAGTGCTTATTAGTTTCACTCTGTCCGTCCGTCCGTCCGTCCGTCCGTCCGTCCGTCCGTCCGTGTGTCTGTTTACAAAACTTCTACACCCTTGAAGATAGAAAGCTGAAATTTTATATATACATAGATCTTTACTAGAAACTTATTTTCGTAGAACAAAATTTTTACCTATCTCCCCCCCTCTAGAAGTTATACCCCCCCAAAACCCTAAAAATGGCCTTTTTTAAATATTTGTTGCAATGAAACCATAAGCATTTTTGAAATTTTGCAAACGCAGAAAGGCAGTGGCTTGCTTCCCTTTGCGCGGTATACTATAGTTCAACTTAAGAAAAACAAAATGGCCGCTCAAATTTACCGTTATTTAAAGTCCTTTTCTTTCAAATTTTTGATGTCGTTTTTCTTCTAGACCCCAGACTGTAGAAGCTTCAAATTTTAGGAGCTTTTAGATATTAATAAATAGTTCATTTTGTTAGAAGAAAGTTTTTTTCCATCTCCACCCCCTCTCAAGTTATCACCTCTTGAAATTCGTGAAAATTGAATTTTTGACACCTTATATTTCCGAAACCGCAAGCTTTTCCAAATTTTTATAAACGCAAAAAGCTAACGGTAAATTCCGTGAAATTAAAAAATATAATTATTTTTCTTAACTCACACAATTAACCCTTAAAATCGAGCATTATGTTAACCCCTTTTTATATTAATTTTTGCTTTATTTCAAAGACTGCATATATGCGTCATCCTAAATATATGCAATCCTAGAAATAGTTTTGTATATGAATGAAAATAATTTTAATAGTGTGATAGCTATACATAGACTGTAT